TTAGTAGTATGTTGTTATGTGCCGTGGAGTCGCTCCGACTCACAGCGACCCTGTACAGGGTTTCCAAGGCTGTAAATCTTCACAGAAGCAGAAAGCCTCATCTTTCTCCCACAGAACAGCTGGTAGTTTCGAACTGCTGACCTTTAAGGTTCGCAGCCCGACTCGTAACCACTACACTACCAGAGCTCCTTGCTTTTTTGTAGGTGAGGCTGTAATATATAAAACAAAGCAAAACAGTTTGTAGTATAGGTCTCACATAATAACTGATTTCTTGGCTTTCTCATGATTTTATGTCTTCTTAAAAATTTTATATGCTATGTAGGAAGGACCCAGATGGAGGAATCATATCGAGATCACTAGGACTCAGGTAATGTTTAAATAAATAATTTGATTCTGGTTGTTTCAAAATTGTACTTCTAACTTGTTCCTTCATGTAGCTGATAGAATATGTTACAAATTTTAATAGTATACACCTCTATAATACTGTTAGAATAGGTCATGACTAGGGTAACCAAAATGTTTTGTATTCTTGTTTTTTATTACAACATTTGATACAGAGATATATATGGAACACATATAAAGTGTAAAGCAAAGTAATAAAATACACCAGCAACTTAAGAATCAAAACAATATGGTTACCTTTGAGCTTAAGAATTAAAACATTACAGGTATCTTGACTCCTCTAAATCTCCCCCAGATAACCACTATCTTGAATGTTCTGTTTATCAACCTCTTCTTTTTCTTTCATAGTCTTGTCACATCCTTCTCCTTGTTAGGTGCCATTGAATCAGCTCCGATTCATAGCTACTCTGTGCACAAACAAAACACTGCCCGGTCCTGCACCATCCTGGCATTTGTTATTATACTTGAACCCATTGCAGCTGCCACTTTGCCAATCCACCACGTTGGGGTTTTCCTCTTTTTCTCTGACCCTCAACTTTACCAAGCATGGTGTGCTTCTCCAGGGACTGGTCCATACTGATAATATATCTCTAGGATGAAAGACAACTCCTCAGCACTCTGACTTCTAACGTTCATTCTGGCTGCACTTCTTCCAAAACAAATTTGTTTGTTCTTCTGGCAGTCCATGGTACCTAGTACCTTTGATATTCTTTTCCAACACCATGACTCAAATGCATCAATTCTTCTAATATCTTCCCTATTGATTGTCCAAGTTTCACATGAATATGAGACTAGTGAAAATACCATGTCTTGGTTCAGGCACACCTTAGTCCTCAAACTGACATCTTTATTCCTACATACTTTGAAGAGTTCTTGTGCAGCTGATTTGCCTAATACAATACTTAATTTGATTTCTTGACT